AACTCCTTGTAGTCGTCTAAAGGGTAGAGAGGTTAAGGGGTGACTTTCAGGTGTGAAACCAGCCACAGGTCTCACTGTACCTCCCCCAGAAAATCTCACCTCTCCCCCAGTACTTGCCCCAGACCCTCTATCTCTAAAATACCTAGTTTTACCCATCTTGAACCTTACCAAGATGCATCTTCACATCCAACCCCCTTATCAGAGACCCTACCAACCTTTTCCTTCCTTTGGGGCTGAATGCTCCTATTAGGACTGTCCCATAGGAGAAATAGCCCAGTCTGGGGTCCAGCACCCCCAGAACTGCTCACCGTCCATGCGCAGTGCAGCCGTCAACATCTCAATGCACTTGTCCCGCACCGAGTCCCCTGTGAGGTAGCAGGGGGCCAGGAAGCAGGGGCTGGCAGAGAAGGAGGGGCTGCTGGGCGTTCGCGGCACCTCAGGCTTGGCCTTGCTGCTGTTGGCTCTGCAGGGGCACATGGAGGGGCACGGGCAGGTGGCAGGGTCCTGGCACAGCTGCAGGGACCTGCCGGGGTCCTTGGAAGTGGAGTGGGTCTCTCTTACCTTTCTTCCCTGCTGTCACTGGAGTTTCTCTGGGAGCTGGTGGGAGCTGGAGAGAGGCTGGTGCCCACAGAGGTTCTCCTGGGAGTGGCATGAAACAGGACAGTGGGGATGACACCAGAGACAGGGCAGGACAGGGGCAGGGACTGGTGGCAGGACCTCAGGCATCAGCACATCGATGAGAGTGCTCGCCCGGAAGCCAACAGGAATCTCCATTTGCTCCTCCCAGGAAATATCTCAGTGCTGTGGCAGGATCAGGGCTCCCAGCCACTTCTCACCCCCTCCATGTTCATGGTATCCCAAGGGGGACCCTAAGAGCATCCCCAGGCTGCCCAGGCACACCCTCTCCTTACCTCTCCCCTGACAGTCTCTTCTGTGTGGAGGAAGAGGAGGAGACAGTTGAGGACCTGGAGTCAGCAGAGGCTCTCCTGGCAGGACAAGCCCCATGTCAGAGGGCAGTAGCTGGGACAAATGATGGGTCCACACCCCAAGCACAACCCAGTGAGGGGCCAAGGTCTTGCCTCTCCCATCCTCATGCAGCCCCAGGACCCACCTCTCTTTCTTGCCATCCAGAGGTGATTTCTTGGAAGACGCAGTGGGGCTCCTGCCATCACTGGACTCTCTTCACCATGGCACAAAGGAAGGGAGAGAAGCTCTCAGCAAACCCAGCATACTCTGGCAACCTGTGAGCTGGATCCTGTCCATCTGCATCCCCCATCCCTGAGCCCCGCCCCCCCCCCTCCCCGGCTGCCAGCAAAGCCTCCTCTGGGCTGGCAGTGCCTAGCAGAGCCTGGCGTGAGGGTCGAGGCAACCTTCAGCAGGTACCTCTCCGGGCTGGAATCAGCAGAGTGGCCCTGGGTGGTGGTGGCATGAGAGTCACACTTGCTGGGCTTCCTAGAGATAGAGAGAGCACGGGTCAGATAAGCACTGTCCAAAATGACCTAGTTATAGAGAAGGGAAAATAGAAAATATCCACTTCTCCCTCCTCCAAAATCAGCCCTGGTGCTGTCTTAGAGGCAGTTTGGTCTCCAGAGGTGCTGCCAGCATCCATGGGTAGGCAGAGATGGATAAACTCTTAAAGACCAAGCAGAGGGTGGTCTCATATTGGCCCTGGTGTCCCCCAACAGCAGGCAGGAGCCCTCACCTCTCCTTGTGCTTCTCCCTGTGCTTCTCAGCTGTATTCTTGCTGTGCTTCACCCCTTCACTGGGGCAGCTGGAAACATCCAGCTCCTTCTCCTTCTTCTTATCTGCATCCTTCTCTTTTTTTGTGGTGGTGGACTCTGTGGGAAGGATTTGGGCGTCACAGTCACAGCCCAAACCAGCATAGGGCACCTGCAGAGATGCATCCTGAGGTGGGGAATGATTGTGGAGATGCTCAGCCCTTGGTGGGGCACGCATTGATTTACACCACTCTATCCCAGAGTGAAAACAAGCCTTTGGAAAATCTGAGTTACAGGTTATAGGAGCCTGCATGTCCTGGCTCTGCACTGATTCCACTCCATCCCCCCAGAAAGCATTGGGGCTTGAGGTGCAGGGATGGCTCAGGGAGGATTGAGATTTGGGGGGTTCTTGTCTCCCTCCAGCATCGCTCACCCAGAAGCCGCTTCCAGTTTTTGATGAGGATTTTGGCTGAGGCCACCACCTCTTCATCTGAGCAGTGTTTCCGCACTGAGTTCACAGCCACTCCAATCCGTGTGGTCTGGGGACACACACCGGGGACACATCCTTAGGGATGTGGTGGCTGGCACAAGGCACAGGACAAGCTACCCCATGGGGTGTCCCCCCACCCAAACCCCCTCACCTGGAGCAGCTGGATGGTCATGGTGTAGCCAGTAAGAGACTTGAGCAGATCCAGTGCCCCTTCCTACAGCAGGGAGAAGCCACAGGAGCCCTTGAGGAGGCATCAGGCAGCACCAGGAAGGGCATGACAGGACAACCCAAAGCAGCCCTGGGCGGCTCCCTGGGATTGCCTGACCTCTCACACCGATTGAAAAGTCCCACACTCAAATCCTCCTGGATCATCCCAGCCCCAGGTCACATCTCCAGCTGGATAGCATGAGCTTTTCTTAAAACTTGGGAAAACCCCCATCTGCAAGAAAAATCTGGGCTGGTGGGAGTTAGGCAGAGCTGGGGGATTTCCCAATGTCCCCCACTCAGGGGTGTGAAGGTCCATGGGACACATCCTGGTACCCTGCAGTGGCAGCTGAGATAAGGATAGTCTAGCACAGAGCCTTCCTCCTCCTCACTGTCTTTCTCCTCCTTCTCATCCTTGGTATTTTTAGAGCCCCAGCAGCAGACACCAGCTCCCAGGTATCCCCCTCCAGGGACACTGTTCCCCGGAGTCCCACCAGGAGGGGCTGGATCAGATCCCCCCAGTTTGATGGGTGCAGGGACATTCCTGTGCTGTAGGTGGACCCTGGCTCTGTCCCATCCCAAAGTGTAGCAAGAGAAGTATAGAACACCCCTGACCCTTGACCCCTGGGTAATTCCTGGCACCAAGCAAAGCCATGGGATGTGGTTTGATACCAAGCGTTGGCATCCCAAAAAGCCACCAGATCCATGGAGACGGCAGTGCTGCCCCCCCAGCCAGGAGCCTGCACCTTGTCAGGGCAAAGGCCAGTGGAAACAGTCAAATATTAACTCTGAGAGCTGGGCTTGGCACATGTAACAGGCTCACCAGGATCCTCACTTGGTACAAGGGTGGCAGGGCTGGATCCTGGCTTCCCCGGAGCACAACCACCCAGGAAACAGTATCTGACCCCTTCCCTTCCCTTTGCCTACTTGTGCAACAGGCAGGGCTGTGCCCAAGGGTGTTACAGCCCAGAGCTTTTCCTTGCCTGTACACGAGCCTCTGGCCCTGATCAGGTGTTGGTGCACAGGCTGGGAGCCAAACACCTGTCGCCCACAGTCCGGCAGTGGCAAGCAGCGTCAGGAGCTGCCACCCATGGGACGAACACCCCTTACTCCCAAATCCCAGTGTCTGGGAGCAATGGGGCACAAGAGAGCGTCAAATTAGAGGCAAAATTAAATCCCCTGGGTGTTGACTATGATGTCCTGAGGCTGGGCTTGGGTGACACAGGCAGCACCCCTTAAACCCACTCAGCACCTCCAGGGACAACGTGAGAGCTGTAAAAAGCAACGCCCCCCCCCCCCCTCCCTGCACCCTTTCCCAAGCCACACAACATTTAAACATGCATGTAAACAAGCAAGTGTGTAAATAAGCATGTGTGTAAATATGTACACGTGTAAATTTGTATGTTTAAATATGTGCACATACCCCGAGGAGCTCAGCCACCTTACCGTGCTTTTCCTGGCCACCATCTTATCCAATTTCTTGGCAATCCGGACCAGCTCCTCAGCGGGCCCCATGGCGGGGGCTCCAGCGGAGCAGGACACTGGCTGTGGACACAGCTGGGCACTGCTGACATGGGGTCCTCGGCAGCGGGGTGGGAGGGAGCAGAGAGGAGGGGAAAAGGGGGAAAGGGACAGGAAGGGAAGAGAAGGGAAGGGAGAGAAAGCAGAAAGGAGGTGGGGCTGTCCCGGCCAGTTATAAACTCCTGCCCGGAAAACAAAATAGCACGGGGGAGGGCTAAATATAGTCGAGAGCCACGGCTGCAGGAGCGGAGGAGGCACGCGGAGGAGGCGCATGCTGGGGCGCTCGTGGCCGTGGGGAGCTCGGGCAGGCACAGGGCCCGGGATGGGGCTTTGCCATCGGCATGGCTGAGGTAGGGAATCCTCAGGGGCACGGGTACAGCGTGCCCCAGGCTCTGTTTTTCCCAAAGCTGATCCAGCAGCGAGAGCCTTGGGGGAATAATCTTTATACTCCGTGCATTGGAATGTTCCAATATATGTGGAATTCCACTATACAGGAATAGTTCTTATACTGGAGTACTCCGCATATTGGAGTATTTTGGTACTGAGAATACCCCATCCCTGGAAATGTCCAAGGTCACGATGGACAGGCTTGGAGCAACCCGCCTGGTCTAGAGGAAGGTGTCCCCCCTACATTAGGGTGGACAGAACAATCTTTAAGGCCCCTTCCAACATTCTGTGATTGTGCGATGACAAATGACACGCTGCAGTCTTTGAAGCACAGCATAGATGGTGCGCCAGCAGAGCCAGTTGATAGTGTGCCAGCCTGGGGCAGGAGCAGGAGCCCCTCAGACCTGGCTGGACAGGCAGCAAATACCTGGTGGCACAAGCCACGGGGAGTTGTAGGTGGCAACAACCTTGCCATCCTTGCTTGTCCCTGCTCCAGCACGCACATGGGGGGGCTGTAGTATGAGTATCCTGCTCTGGATCCATGTCCCAGCCTAGCCCCATATGGCTGCCCCCAAGGGTGATCACAGATGCCAGGGACTCGGAGCCTTGGGAACACATCAGCAGCATCACCATGCTGGGGATGGCAGAGCAGGGGTTGTACCCCCCAACACACTCCCAGGTGCTTAAAAAATGATGGTTTATTAGAAATCAGACAGAAAAGATTTTAAAAAAGACTTTTTTGAGATGAAGCATCTGACACAGAAATGAGAAGGGTAAAGTGAGGGGGTATGCAGGCAGGTGGCTCCCAGGGGATACTGCTACAGGGGTATGCTGGTCCTAGAAAAAGTTGCAAAACCCCCTCTGAGACCCCCCCCCCACCCCAGGGAAGGGGCAGTGATCCAGCACCCACCCCATATGAGGGACATGGGGCAGGGGCTCTGTGGTAGCACCTGAAACATCCCCTGCCCTCCAAATCAAGGAATGGCATTTTGCTACCAGTTTTGGAGAAGCTTTGCAGCATCCCTGAACTCCACAGTCCAGGGAGCTCCCAGAACCTGGGGTGGGGGATGGACACAAAAAAAACCCCTCTCCTATTTCTTGCCCATCCCAAAGGCTTCACAGTTGGGGTACAGAAGGAGGCTGGTGGTCCATGGCTGGCCCCAGGATGAAGAGGAAGCTTCATGACTACCTGGCAGAGGGTAGGGGATACCAAATACAGCTCCCCCATTCCAAATTCCTTGCAGAGAAGGAAGAAGAAAACCCAAGTGATGGGCAGAGACCACGGGAATGACAGAAGAGCAGCAGGAGCAGGGGCTGGCACAGAAACTTCAGCCCACGAGTGCAGCAAGCATGTCCATTCTCTGCTCCTCAGCCCCCCACTGCTACCATCCATGGACGGTTTTCCCAATGCAGGGGATCTCAGGGCCCCCTTGGAGGGCAGTGGTCTCATGCCAGGATCCTGGGCACATGTCCCTTTGGCCTGGCTCTACCAAGCCCCTAGCAGGGAGCTGGCTCTACTCCCAGTCAATGGGACAGTGACAAATGGGCCACCCCCACACGGTCAGTCTTGCAAGAGGTGGACGAAGCTGGCAGGGAAGACTCCAGTACGGGAGCCATCACCCTCGATGAAGCCAACCTGGGGGTGCAGAAAGAGGGTTCAGGGGACTGCAAGTCTTATCTTGAGATATCAGCCTCAGAACTACTTCCCTGCTCAATTCCAATAGGCATTTAGAGAGGCAAAGCTGTGCTGACACATCAGTGGAGCCCTCCTAGCCCTCCTTCATGCATACATGGGGCAGAAATTCCCCATCTGTGCCCCCCAGAAAAACCCAGCCTCCTTCAGAAAAGAACTGGAGGGGGGAAAGGACCAGGACCAGCAGCTGCCCATACCATGCTGACTCACCCAGATCTGCTCGTCCTCCTCCCGTGTCACCACGATGACCTCCCCCTTGGAGAAGGTCAGCTCTCGTGCCTTGTCTCCCTTGCAGTCAGCCACTGCCTTTACTCGCTTCTGCCTCCCCTTGGCCTGAAATGGGATCAAAAGGGGGTGAGATACCCCCCGAAGCCATCCAAAAGGTGGCAACAGGGATAGGACCCCCTGATCACTCCATCTGCCACCCCAGGATATGAGGAGCCGGGACGCTTGGGGATGCAGAGGAGGATTTGCACCTACCGGAGCAAATCTTCTGGGCATGGGCACAGGGGGCAGCTTGCTGACAGCAGGGTCCTCAGGGCCACCAGGGCTCTGGGGGGACCCAGCTGACCCCATTTTGCCCACCATGCCACCAATGCGCCGGTACGAGCGGGTGCTCTCTGAGCTGTGGGTGACAGTGGGAACAGTGTCATCCCCCCGTCTGCTGCTGCCTTCCCCCCACCCTGTTCTCCATCCTGTGAGGTCTCAGGGAGGTTAGGGCTTCCCCCATGGGACCTGGATCTCACCCACAGCCCCCTTGATGCTGATGAAAAGGGTCCCCAGCACCCAAACTGCCTCAAATGAGCCCATCCCACCACATTTTCCCAAAGGAGAGAAAAAATACATATGATAACTGGCAGAGGATCTTGGTGTCCTCCCAAATAATCTGCATCATTGTCTCCAAGGACAACCCAGCATCCCCATAACTGCCCTTGTCTCCTCCTGCATCCCAGGGTCACCATCAGCTTTCTTTGGAGATCCCAGAGGGTGGGGACCCTTTTGCTTCACAGCGATTCTCCATGCCCATGGGGGTGGCAGAGGTTGAAGTTCACCCACCAGCACCATACAATGATCTCCCAAAAGCAAGTGCAACCCCAGTCTGGAGCAGGGTCCCTACCCAAACTTGACAGGGGGGATGTCAGGGACTGTGCTGCCTGGCAAGGGCTGTGTGGGTGGGGGACTCAGCTCTGGCCCCCGCCGACTGCTGCTCGTGTCCGTCTCGGAGCGGGTTTCCCAGTAGGCTGCCCACTGGCTCTCGGTGGGGCTGCGGGTGCTGGGAGTGCCATCCAGGGCACCCGTGCTGCTGGCACAGGGCAGGCTGTGTGGTGCTGCTGCCTCCGCTGGCCCAGAGAAGTGGGGCTCCGATGCCTGCCGGGGCAGTTCAGGGCGCTCTGGGGGGACACACGCAATGGGGAGAACAAACTTGGTCTCTGGGGGAAGGCACAGCCCCATCATGATGACCTCCTCCAACTCACCGGTGGGGCTGTGGCTGGGTTTGGGGCGAGAGCTGCCCCGCGTAGGGTTTTTGAGGGGCAGTGGCGGGGGGATCTCCTCGCTGTGAGCCCGGCGGGGTGCAGTGCGCGAGGGCACCAGGATGCTCTCGTAGGTCTTGTTGGTGATGTCCATCCCCATGCAGCTCCAGCGGGTCTGGGGGCAGGCAGGCAGCGGGCTGGCAGCCAGTGGTGATGTGCCCTTGAAGGAGCGCTGGAGGGGGCTCACCTGGGGGTACACACACAGCTTCAGGGATGTCCCACTGCCACCAGCCCCCCAAAAGGGTGTGCACTCCCACAGCTCCCTTACTGGGGATGTGGAGGCCCCACCATTCCACAGTACCTTCTCCTCCAGCTCATCCTCACTGTCATACGGCAACTCTGATAGGGGCTCCCAGTCATAGTCCACATGGATCTGCAGAGATAGCTTCCCCGCCTGCGCCTGCTCCAGCTGCCAGAGGGATAGGGCAGGTCAGGGGGATCTCAGGATGGGGCAGCCCACAGGGGTCTCAGCACTGGAGGTACACGTTCCAAAAGCCCCCCACCTTCATGCCAGTCCTCCTCAGGCACTTGATCCCTTCTCCCCACTCTGAGCTTCCCCCCCATTCCTCCATCCCACCTACCAGCTCCTCACACTCGCTGTACTTCAGCCTCCTCGCCACATCCAGAGCTGTCTCGCCTGCCGCGTTCACTGCCCAAGGGACAAAAGGGGGACAAATCCAATTTGCAGCCTTACCACTCCCACCAAAGAACCCCAAAACCTCTGTCCCAAGCTTATACCTGTGGTGAAGGTGGCTTTTCCTTTCAGGAGCAGCTTGAGGCAGTTGGGCTGGTTGTAGAGTGCACCATAGTGCAAGGCTGTGTTCCCATTCTGTGTCACCCGGTCCAGTGTTCCCCTGTGCACGGCCAACAGCAGGAAAGTTAAGGCTTTGATACAAGCACCCTATACATTCCTCCCATGAGAGAGAGGGGCAGGGAACACTGGGAGCCCTTGGGGACGCACCCATTCTGGACGATGAAGTCCACCAAGGGAAGGGATGATCTGTCAGCATGGCGTACGGCCATGTGCAGCGGCAGCTCGCCTGCATCCTGCCAAGAGATGGGAGGGAGGGATGACCCTGAGAGTGCTCATCTTTCCTCAGGAAAAAGTGAAAAGAAGTACTGGATCCAAGAATGCTCATCTTCCCCCCTGAATGAAGGGAAAAGGAGTGCTGGACACATGTATGCTCATCTCCCAAGATATGGAAGGGAGAGAAGAGCTGGCCTCAACAATACTTCATCTCCTGTGTGTAGGAGAAAAGAAAGCTGGACCTACGGATGCTCACCTTCCAACCAGCATATCCCTTCCCAAAGCCCAAGGCAACCCAGAGAACAGCCACCCAGAGAGGGAAAATCCATTCCCTGTTGGGTGCAGGCCTCACCTGACCCTCAGGGCTGGCCAGGGGCTTGGTCAGGTCATGCCCCTCGGCAAAGGCCTTGAGCAGGGCCAGGAGGTCACGGGCTTGAATGGCTTCCCAGAGGCCGTGGGGGTTGTCCTGGCTGCTTTTCTGCACGTAGCGTCGCTCCATGTACTTGGCCATGATGTATTCCTTGCGCGCAGCCCTGCCGGAAGGGGGGCTTGGATGGGCATGGAGACGGGCTCTGGAGCCCTGTGCTCCTGCCTCCTCCTGAAGCCTCAGGATCAAGGGTAGGTCTCCAAAGAGGTGCAGATCCCCAACCACAATCCAGCAATGACACCAGGATGCCTCATCCCAGGGCTGCCTTAGATGGGCAGAGGCAGCATGGGGACAAGAACAGGGCACACACCATGCACTCCTTTTCCTTCTCCTCCTCTTCTTCCCAGCACACCCAAGTCCCTGACTCACATATCACTGCTGGCTGAAGGCTTGGGACAGTCCTGTGTGGGTAGTGCGGCCTCCATGATCTCATTGAAACGAGTGTTCCCAATGCTAACAGCCAGCTAGGGAGAGAGGAGAACAGAGGGACATAAACCCTCCTGGGTCACACTCACCCTGTTCCAGCCAGATCCCATCCCAGAAGGAAGGAATCCATTGGATCCATCCAGGGCTTTCCCAGAGCAGCATCTTTGCCAGGATGATGCTCTCTTATGGCAGTGGAAATCTATTTTAGGAGGGAGAAAATCCTGGGGAGCTGCCAGCAGCCCCCTGCTTAGCAAACAGCTTTGCAGAGCCCCCCTTGCCCACACCACTGTGCTGGGGAAACTGAGGCAAGTTTGCAAGCCCTGGAGCAAACTGGGGACAGATGGGATGGAAAAGAAGAAATTAACCCTGTGTCACAGGAGGTTTGGGACACACAGAGGGTGGTTCCCAGGGTGCCAGGAGATCTCTGGGCTCAGAAAGCAGCTTACCAGCAGCTCAGAGGTGCTGAGAACATCGAGAGTGAGGGACTGGATGCGGGAATAATGCACACCGAGCTCCCGATGGATGCCAGAGCACTCGATGCACGTCAGGATGCCCAGGTTGGTAGAGAGCCACGTGGGATCTGCAGTGGGAGCGGCGCGGGGCTCAGCAGCATGCCCAGCCCTCAAAGATGCTGCGACCCCCATGAACCCTGACTTACACCCAGGGCGGGGGGACACCCCAGGCCCTGACATACCTGGGGCACCACAGTCACAACACTGCTTGTTTCCTGGCATGTTCTTCACCTCACTGATAACCAGCCTGGTGAGCTCCTGCATGCCGCCGTCCACCCCGGTGCCTGCTGCCACCCCGCCACTGCCCCCATCCCCCTTGAAGGCATTGCTCAGGGCTTCATCCTTGCTGTTCTGCAGCACTGAGACCCACCTGGGCAGGAGGGAGGAGGAAGAGGAGGATGAGGAAGGCAGAGCAGGATCTGGCACATCAAGGAGGAGGGATGGGCTGTGGCACTTACACAACACACTCTTGCTCATCCTCTGCTTGAAAGTGATATGTCCTGTTGTCTGTAAGGATGGGGAGAAAAGAGAGAAGGTGAAAGGAGAGAAGCTGTGTCTGCCACTTCCCTTGAATTGTTTAAGCTTGGACAGGGCTTGGAGCAATCTGGTCTAGTGGAAGATATCCCTGTCCACGGTGCAGGGGTGGAACAAAACAGTCTTTAAGGCTACTTCCAACTGAAACCATTCTAGGATTCTGTGGTCTAGGGATGCTGAGGAATAAGCTGAAATCTCTTCAAAGGAGCTGCTTAATTACAAATTAAATCACTGCACATCACTCTCCCATCACCTGAGCCCTGTCACAATCTCTTTTTGTCTCAGCTTTCTAGTACTCACTGGATTGGTCCTTCATCTGTAAAGACAGCCAAGAAGACACCCAGAGCCAGATTAAAGAGGGTGACACTGTGTTTCAGAGGGAAAACCCACTCCAAAAAGGGAAAGGTCCCACCAAAGCCTCCACCTCCAGGTCAAACACCTCACACCCCAGTCACTGCACCTCATCCCAGGTACTCACGTGTCACCAGGTCAAAGCATTTTTTCTCCTCGGCATGGGGCCGCACCTGGCAGGTGAGGAGGTTCAACTTCACAGGGGGACGGTTTATCTGCAGGGTGAGAGGACCGAGGTGGGTTAAAGGACCAGGAATGAATGAATGCCATCTCCAGTGGCAACTGTGGTGATACAACCACCACCACAGATGGTTTCTCTCGGGATAACCATGCAAATCAGACCCTGTCTGACTCATTTCAGAAGAACAGGAACCCTTTGCAGAAGAACACGGCTCCAAGAGGTGCCTCTGTCCCTCCTGCAGTTTCCAGCCTCCACCGCCAGGGGGCAGCCCTTCCCTCCCAACCAGCCCGTCCCCTTTGGGTTCGTCTGGACCCGCATTGTCCGTCTGTCTGTCCCCGCCAGGATCACCTCCTCTCCCATGGACAGACACGGGGCACCACCCTGGGACCCCTGTCAGATACAGGGGACTTTCTTTGAACTGTCCAGTCTCATGCTGCATTGATTTTTAGGCCAGGCAGATTTGTGATCAGTTTTGGCAAAATTAAACCTGAAATCCAATGGACATTAAGCCCCAAAGGGTGCACAAAAAAGGGTCAGGTCTGCAGCCCTGACGCTCCCCACCGTGCTGTGGGAGATGGTCAGGCAGCCATACTTCACACCACACTTCCTCTTCTGCCACACTTTGCGGATCCTGAGAAGAAGGAAGAGGAGGAGTGAGGATTGCACAGCTGCAATCACCCACATCCACATCCCAAACCAGCCATGGCAGAGGCCTGATGGGAGTTCTGGACATGGGGTTATGCTTTCTCTAACTCATAGAATACTAAATGTCCTGTGAGCTGGATTTCAGCTCTAGACCTCTCACGAGCACTGACAATATCAGGATGAAGCCAAGAGCTCTCCAGGATAACACTCGTCCTCACCCATCACTCTTCTTGTACAGGAATCCTGACTTTTCTGTCCTGTACTGCTTGTTGCCTTGGTGCTGATGGATACTGTAGCCACTGCCAGAGTTCTTCCTGTTCAAGTTTTCCTGAAAAAAAGACAATAAAAAAGCAAAGTGAGAGGCACAGAGGCGGCTGCTGCCCCAGGTGACCTTGTCCTTACGGGGGTGCAGTGTGTCCAGAAGATGCCAGACAGCCCCATGCCCTCCCAGCATCCAAATGTCTCCAGGTCCCTGGAGAAGTTAACCCAGCTCCCCTCTCCCAAACTAACCCCAGCGCACCCAGAACCTCCCAATGCTCCTTCCCAGCTCTTCCCTGCCCATCCTGCGGTCTCACCTCCTTGTTCTCCAGCTGCAGGATGTTGCGGAGGGAATCACGGGTCTGCGTGAGCTGCTTCACCTCCTCCTCCTGTGCTTGGCGCAGCTGCAGAGGGAGCAGCTGCCCTCAGGCCTGCCCTGAGCACAGGTGCTGGCCGGGGCTGGCACGGGGACCTCCCGGGGGACAGGCTGAGGGCACTGCACGGCAGCGTGAAGGCCTTACCGCATGCAGGGACACGGCGAGCTTCTCAATGAAGGGGTAGAGATTCTGGGCAGCCTTCCAGCCATCTTGGAAGAAACTGGGTGTTTGTTGAGGGTGATTAAGATGCAGATGGGGAAGATGGAGGAAAAAAGAGGGTTTTTAGAGAAATTGTGGCAAGAGATCATGGCAATTCCCTCCCTGGTACTTGCTTTGTGGCTCCCTGGCTACGGGGATCTGGAGAGAGCCCAGCAAAGGCCAAGCCTAGCCCATGGGGTTTGGATACCCCAAATATTAGGGAGGTCTGGCATGCAGGATTGGCCTCTTGTTTAATCCCAGCTCAACTCACTGGGGAGCAGTGCTGCCAAAAGCCACATTCTGGGGGGTCCCTGGGTCACAGTCCCAGTCAAAGACATGCTTTTGACCACCACAACAGTCTCAAACTGCCTCAGTTTCCCCACTTGAGAGCTGGAGGAGATGATGACTCCCACACACTGCTACTCTAGCCTCACGGAGCAATGGGAAAGGCAAGGGGATATTGATCCTCACTCCAAACACTCTTGTTACAAGCCCCATGGCTAAAGCCAGAGCTGCTCAGCTGAGCTCATCCCTGGAAATCTATCCAGAAACCAAATAATCAGATACATCTCAAGCCAATGCCCCTCCCACTGCCCCATGGACACGTTTACAGCTTCTCAAGACAAAAAAGCACATTTCAACTCCCCAGAGAAAACTGAGAAGTGATGGGCTCTGCCCAGTATCTCCACTAACAGCTTTATGGCTCTGGGATGAGAGCAGAAGACCCCAGACCCTCATAAGACCACCCAAGGGTGACAATCAGCCCCATCTTGACCCAGGTGGCACCTACTTGTGCTGAGCATGGAAAAACTTGATGAGGCTCTGCAGGAAATCTGGTCCCTGCTTCATCTGAGACTCTCTGGCTTTTAGCAGGTACTGGAGGGGGAGAAAACACCTGGTTAGGTGACAGAGACAAGGACCAGCTGAGAACATCCCAGAGGAAAGAGCAAGAGCCTGCCTAGCCCTTGATTCCCTTCCCAGCACAGGGAGGAAGGTTAAAACACTGGCTGGGTTTCATGAAGTCAAGTCATGATGTTGGATTTGAAGGCAAGCTCGCTGGGGACCACCCTCAAAAACCTGGCTCTGGAAGTTCTCCAAGACATGGAAAGTTCAAGGACTGAGGCAGGCCTCCAGGCTTTCCAGCCAAGCATGCTTCTCCCACTGCTCATTACTTCTGGAGTTAATAAATAACCAAAACTCAAGGCTGCTTGTGAAGGAAAGAAAAAACACAACAAAAAAGGCCAAATGTTTTTTAAGATATGGCCCTTTTATTCCCAAAAAATCAGATTCCAAGAAGTGAGCACCTGCAGCACACCAGCACTGGAGGTCTGCTGGGGTGCCTCATGGGCTGGGGAATTTCAGCTTTATGCATCAAACCCATTCATCAGCTGCAGGCAGGGAAGGAAACACACTGACTCTAGCTCACCCTAAGTAAAAGAAGGAGGGGAAGAGATTTTCCCCCTGCAAGCTCCTCTCCAGCTGCTGGAATGGTTTTGAATGGGGAGTGAGGGGAGGGGGAGGCAGCCCTGAGCTGTGGGGGCTTTCCAGGGTGAGACAGAGCTCCTGGAATGGAGCTTCCCCATGCCCCAGGCACTGCAGACACCCTGAGGGGTCACAGGACTGGGCACGGCTGTTGAAGTGCTCCATGACAGCTGGAGAGGCCAAGTCAATGTCAGGGAGCACATCCCACGTAGAAAAGGCCACGTGTGCCCAGCTCCTGTGCCACCCACATCCCACGGTGACAGTGGCAGCAGAGCATCCCAGGCAGCGGTGGCTGTGATCCCTGTGAACAAAGGGATGCTCCCAGCAGCCCTGGGCCCATGTCCAACTGCTCCCACAGCCCTGAGGGTGTGAAATGGCCCACAATGAGGAGACACCACCACCCCATGGAGTGAAACAGGACCCTGGAAGTAGCAAAACCCACTTTCCAATAAACCTGTGTGCATCATATGAGCCCCCAGCCGCCCAGAAGAACTGCCCTCCCATTTCCAGGGCCAATGCTGGCAGCTGTCATGCATGCAGAAACACGGGTGCACACGCCCTGCTCCAGCTCCCACCTCTCCATGTGCTGTTATTTATCCCACAGTGGAGCTATTCATGGGAGTGACTCATCTGGCCGGGTCCCAGCTCCGAGGCAGGCACAGCCTCCTACCCACAACCCCTGTTCTTTGCTGGACAGGCATGGGGCGGCACCTCAGGAACATGGGAGACCTCTGGGACAACCCATGGCAGACTTGTTTCCTGCTCTGCCACCCTCCAAGCCTATGGGGCTGCTGAGTGTCTGGAGCCAGGACACTTGGGTTCCTCATTGCTGCAGGGCTTTGAAATTGAGTCTTCTTCATTTATTCCCATCGGACCTCTTGAGCATGGACTGCAAGGACCCAGAATTGACAAGGATCTGGGGTGACTTGTGACCTTCGTCATCAAAGCCAGGAGCAGTTTTGAGGATAGGCAGAAACCACCAAGGCAACCTCACGGACGTTAGCCAAAAAGCTTACTTTTTACCCAAATGCCACCCAAGGAAGGGTAGGAGTGGGGCTGGGGGGACATGGAAGGAACCCC